GTGCTTTCAATTATTATTTTAAAGTCACTTCTGTAGGCAGAGACTGAACTTAATCTTAACAACATGCTTGAATTTAGTGACATGAGACACTGTTGCTCCTGATAGCATCATGCACTTTCCCGAAAAAATGTTGGACACTGTTGGCGCTCCTTCTGGAGTCCATCTTTGCTTCAGTATGGCCTCTTGGGCAAAGAACTGCCCCCACCTGGACCATTGGTTTGGACGTATGGTCCTATGTGCTTGCAGGAGACAAACATAAAAGACTGCTGAACCCTGCCAAGTCAGGTTAAGACAACCTTTCAACCTCCCTGCCTTTGTTGTGATCTGTCAGGTAATCTAGGCCTTAGCCAAAACTGGCTGTACTAACATTGCTGTAAGACCTTGGGTGACTGTCCAGGTAGTTTGCTGTTTCTGTCCTCACTGCACCATTTGGAAGTTGCCTATCTGTACTTCCTGCTGACTGTAGTATTGTTATTTTCCTTCTCAGGTCTTTGATGAGGTTAAAGATTAAGTTATCACAACTATTATTCTCTCTTCCTACTTAGATATAATAGGTACTAGACTTAAGCTTTCCAGCTTAGGACAACTCTATTGTATACCCTGTTTTGACTTCACCCTAGGACTAGATAATTAGGTCTTAAGTTTGTATGTTCTCAATTTTCCTTTTCTTAGAGCACACTTGTTATTTGCTGTTTTGTATATAGTTTTGTATCAAGCCTAAATCTTTTCTTTAGACTAAAAGGGGAATTGTAGTGAGATATTCACTTTGTCCACACCTGTGGTGCAGACCACGCCCATTAGGGGGAGACAGGGGTGGACATTAATTGCTAGAGCTAAGTCTGAGGAGGGGCCGGGGAGCACTCTCTTGCTTGCATCATGAGGACAGGTGATCCTTGGCACCAGGAACCTGCTGGTTTGTAAGTTATTTCTCCCTGAATAAACATCTATCTGGCCTATTTGTTTCTCTTGATCCTTATTAAACATCAATACACCTCCACTTAATTTAAAAATGCACACTGTAAAATACCGAGCTTTGTGTTTATTTATTCTGGCTTTCAATACCATCATTTCTTCTTGGTCTTGATGTAATCTTACTGTTTTGATCATTGTAACTCTAGAAGCAGTAGTCTATACACATATAGTATACACTTAGGCATAGGGATTAGATATGTGGTAGACTGTGTGATCTAGATTTGTATGATAATGTTCTTATAGTGACAAAATTTCCTAAGTATATATATAACAGAGAACATCTCTGATAGGCAAATAGCCTAGCCAGACTGTGTGTGTTGGTTAACAGTGGATTTCAAAGTAGATATAACCTCTAGTCAAAGAGGGTAAGAAAGAAGTAGAAGCTCAGGGAATAGTAGATAATAAGTTAGGAAAAGATGGTGCTGGAAATTTTATTCCTTTGTTCCTACAGTATTTTTTCAAAGTCTTGTCAGGAGAGACATACATGGTCCCCCAGAGAAGGGGAAAGGAACAAGATCTCCTGAGAAATTGGGAGTATGGGGGGTTAGGAGATAAAGAAGGGGAGAAGAGGAGGGGAGAGGAGGATATGAGGGATCAGGAAGATTGAGTTGAGTCAGGGGAAGAATAGAGGAGAGCAAGAAAAGAGATACCATAATAGAGGGAGCCATTATAGGTTTAAAGAGAAATCTGGCATTAGTGAAATGTCTAGTGATCTACAAGGATGACCACAGCTAACAATCTAAGCAATAGTGGAGAGGCTACCTTAAATGCCCTTCCCTGATAAGATAATGAGATTGATGACTACCTTATATTCCATCCTAGAGCCTTCATCCAGTAGCTGATGGAAGTAGAAGTAGACACCCACAGCTAAACACTAGCAAGACTCCTGGAATCCAATTGCAGAGAGGGAGGAGTGATGGACAAAGGGGTCAAGACCAGGCTGGAGAAACCCACAGAATCAGCTGACCTGAACAAGGGGGAATTCATGGACACTAGCCTGATAGCTGGGAAGGCAGTATAGGACCCACCCAGTTCTCCTACACATGGGTATCAGTTGGGAGGACTGGGCAGTCTGTGGGGCCTCTGGTAGTGGATACAGGTGATTGTTTTTTTTTTTTACTCATCTGAACATATAAATACTTAATATGATGCTAAAGGGAAATTAGGTTTAGAAATAAAAATTGATTTTTATTTTTATTTCATATTTTTCAAATGAATGTATTCAGTTTTGTTTCACATGGGGAGAAATAATTCTGTTTTGTGTTTTTCAGATGAATTTGTTTGATTTTATTTTTGATATGATTGTGAAATTATTACTTGCTATTCAGCTTGACAGACATGTATGTATCAGTATAAATCTGTTTTGTTAACAACAGCCTTTGGGACCTAATTGCTACATCATTATTTGGAGATTAATGCCTAACAATGTAAGATTATATAGGAATGCATAATTAAATATGGAAGAATCAAATAATGAGGGCATTTAACAAAGGAATTTCTTTATGTTTTTAAATAGGCATTGTGGATTTAAATATTCTAGTTTTATAAATTTAAATTATGTAGTTGCTGAGAATAGAATTTATGTATTTATTTGTAAAATAAATAAATTCTATTAGGTATTTGTGTATTGGTATGTGCATGGATTGAAATCCAATATACCCTATATACATGTGTCAAATATTTATGTATGTATGTATGTATCTTTCATTTATTTAATACGACTATCAGTCAAGTGATAGTAGTAGGTGCTACTAGAGCGTATCATTGCAAGTAAGCAAAAGCTGGCAGCATTTGCTGGGCTAATGAAAATTGAGCTTCAAGAGCAAAGGCTAGATTTTTGAAAATACATCCACTCTCAGGAGCTTTGAAGCTTCACAATACTTAAAAAGAGTTTTTAAACAATGAAATTGGTTAACAGTACCAAATATAACAAACTATATAAAGTGTTTCCACTGTGAAAGTTGAACTGCTTGAATATCTGTATGACTAATGCATGATTCTTAAAATTGTGCACAGTGTACAAGAGTTATTCAAAGTGGAATCTGAGTAAATGGATATTCACCTAACATGATAAAGTTGCAAATCTTCCATCACCATTAATATTTTAGAAACTATTCCTAATTTTGAATTACTGTGTATATCTAATACTACTATTTCCCCTGCCAGCATGGTGACATACCCTTGTAATCCTAGCATTGTCCATAATTATTTGAATATTCTTCCCTTCCCTTTTTTCAGTTACCACCTGAGTTACATTTTCCCCTTATATTTTATATTTCAACCAGAACAACACACTTTAATAGCTGTACTGTGCTGCTTTTTTTTTTTTTTTTTTTTTTTTTTTTTTTTTAACTAAAAGATAGGGTTAGCCTTAAACTTGTGATCTTTTGCCTTCCTAGTGCTAGGATTACATGTACATGCTACCACATTGGCTCAGAAAATAGGTTTTTAAATGCACATATGTTATATTAAATGAAATAAGTTTGTTTTGTTTTTGAGACAGGATCTCACTATCTAGCCCTGGCTGTTCTGGAACTCTCTCTGTAGACCAAGCTGGCTTTGAACTCAGTGAGATCAATTTGCCTCTGCCTCTTCCTCCTGAATGCTCCACAGGCCAATCAAATTGTATTAGTGTTAAAAGTATAAAGCAGAAGAGTGATAAAACCAATGGATTTGGGTGTTGGTGGTGCACACCTTTAATCCCAGCACTAGGGAGGCAGAGGCATTAATGTGCAGGTAAGGTTTGTTAGTAGAAGCTGTCGTGAGTAGCCTGGGGAAAGCAGATAAGAATATTAGTAAATGCTGGATGTAAGCACTAATGGGCCAGTTTAGGTAAGGCTGGTAGGGAGAGACTTGGGAAGTCCATTCTGACTTAGCTCCTGGTCCTATAAGGTATGGCAGAAGGCAAATGCTAGGTTTAAAGTTGGTCTAAAAAAGAAGCTGCTTTGTAGCAAAAATAAATTTTTCAAATTTTTTGTTTTAAGATTCAGCGTTTGAGATTTAATATCAGGAGGCAGATAGCTACATAATTCCCTCCTCCACTTCTTTTTTCTTCTTTTTCCTCCCTTTAACTCCCTTACTAAAGCACTCTGTAAACCCCAACCCCCAAACCCCAGTCTTGCTTTGTAGCCCAGGATGGTCTGGCATTCACAGGATGCTCCTGCTTCAGCCTCCCAAGTGCTGAGAAAACAAGTGTGAACTTCTTTGCTGGTTTGCCATTAAGTTATTAAGGTGTCATGGAATCACCTGCTGTTTCACATTAGAGCCTATTTTGGTGGATAGGAAGGAGCCCATACGTAAAGCTGATAGAGTATACACTTACCTACTGTTATTCATGCTCTGTAATGGCTGTGTGTTGTATTTATTTCTACATGTAAATTTGGCGTAGTTTTGAGCTTCTTTAACTCATGTTCTTTGAATTTTGTGACTTATTCATAACATGTGTGTCTATAAGGTTATTTTCTCAGAAAAAGGAAGGCAGGGTCCAATTTTAAAAAGGAAGTAACCTTATAATAATTCCAAACCTTGGGGGCTGAGGCAAGAAGATTGAGAGTTTAAGCCCAGCCTTGGTTATAAAGCAGTGAGACTCTGTTTTAAAAAGGAAAAAGAATTAACTCTTCCCCTTTTTTGAAAAATATGTATTTTGCAGTCTGCTTATGCTGTGTTTTCCCTGGAATTAATAAATACTGTATGGGTTATGTACCAGGGCTTTCTAAAATTTCTGAGAATCTGCTTTAGCAACTGTGTGATAAAATGAAAACTGAACAAAATGTGTATTCAGATGAATGATTTTCTGAAGGTATAACAGTGCAGATGAGTATCCAAGTATGAAATCATTAAAAACAGTGTTTGGTTTTCTGTTGAGTCCTAATTTATAGACTCAATTTCTTTTTTAAGTCAAGTTAAAAAAAAAATTGCCTCACTAAAATTTTGGAGGTCAATGTTCAGGTCATATTATACCATAATTTATTTTTTACACAAAAGTGACTTCATTTTTTGCCATTAATATGTGTGCTTTCTTCATGTAGGAGAATATATAAAAAATTGGAGGCCAAGATACTTCCTTTTGAAGACAGATGGTTCATTCATAGGCTATAAAGAAAAACCTCAAGATGTGGACTTACCTTATCCCCTCAACAACTTTTCAGTGGCCAGTAAGTGTATAACAATTGTTAATTTACCTTGGTTTACTTATTTGTATGACTTTATGTGCCATATGTGTTAATGTATCTGAAAAACCAGTGCAAAAGTTTAGGTTTAAATTTAATTGCAAAGAAAATGTCAACTCTGTAAGATTTTCAACTCCTTAAGATAGAGACTTACAATCTTTTGCAGTGCACTATAGTTACTATTTTCATCTATGTGTCTCATTTTTTCTTTATAAAAATGTACATAAGGACCTGTGAACTTGGTCATAACATGTTATGTTACTGCATTTCCTTTCAGAATTCCCTGTCACAATGTTTTGTTGGTTGGTCTTTTATATAAATGTTTTCTGTTAGAAATCATTTTTCAGGGAAAATATGGGTGACTGGGAAGTGAACAGAATTGGGGTACATGATGGAACTTATTTTAACAAACTGTATCGAGTAATTTCAAGTGTCTAAATGTTCTAACAAAATAAAAATGGGGGGCTGGAGAGTTGGCTCAGCCGTTAAAGGCTAGGCTCACAACCAAAAACAAAATAAAAATGGGAAAATGTTTAAGAAAAAGAAAGTCTAGAAATACTTATTTCATACTAGTGTATCAAAAATTAAGTGATCATATAAGTTGGTTGCAGTTGTTAGAGAGCTCTCTTCTATCCAAGCTGGTAGAGATGTGTGCATTGATGACCCTCCTCTTTGAACAAGTAAATTGCTCAAACACCAAAAAAAAAAAAAAAGAAAAAAATCATTTTTCTGATTTCATGTTTTTTTATTTTATTTTATCTTTTGCTTTTCTTATTCATAACTAACAGAATGCTCATGGCTTACTTAGAAATGTTGAATTTGTTTGAGAGATGACTGATAATAACAGTGATTATTTTTATTCTTTTATGTTATGATCAAGATTTTAAATGGTTTATACTTAGTGACCCAATAAAATGATTTTGCTATGTTAATCTAGAAATAAAGCATTTCCAAGTTCAAATTGGAATGTGTAATAACTAGGTGTAGTCTATAGTGTTAAAAAATTTAATTAGACAACTCCTGTACTGTGTTTTGGTTGGATGTTATTTGTTAGATATATTTGAAAAAGGAGGGAGAATTGAAGTTTGTGAACAAAATTAAATAACTCAAGAAATTTTGCCATATAGAAACTTCAAACTTTATTTTCAATTTCAAAAGTAAACCTAAAAGAGAATGGAATTACAAATATTTGAAGAATACTAACTTTATATTTCTAAATTTTTTATATAAAAATATTTTACATATAACATATTTTGGTCATGCCCTTTACCCTCCTGGATACGTATATGTGCATGTATCATGTATATGTGTGTATTAAGGAAAACAGCCTTTTCTCTATCAAAACATGTTCATTATAAATTGCTCTAGTAAGAAATTATTTTAAATCATTTTGACAATTATATCTTTTGAATTTTTAAGATATATATTTTCAGTCTAAAGGTATTTTGGTTGAACATTTGCTTATTAAAATGGTAGAAATTATCTTTTAAACAATTGCCATGTCCTGCCTAAATAGTTTTTCCATTTTACTAGCAATTCTGTTGGTTTGTTTGAAATAATTTCTAAAAGTATGGAAAAATCTCTTATCTGATGATAAAAATGCAGCATTTTTTGACCTTATGAAATTTCACACCCCAACAAGTTTTAAAGACATACTGTATGTCACAGTCTGCCAACATCTGCTCTAGCACTTCCCCTGGCAGAGGCTGAAATAATGTGTACTTGTGGAGAGCGCTTACTCAGTGACTGACAGCTTCTCCACAAAATAATGGCATCTGTAATTTCTACTTGCACAACAAAGTCCTTGTTGGGACTTGACTTCCACAGGTAAAGTTGTAGTTGAACCCCTAATTTTCAGATCTTACCATGACTCTGTTATTTATTTTTTTATTTGCAAAACATTACTATAACCTAAAATTATAAAAATAATTAAGTAAATACTACCTTAATTGAAAGGAAATAAGTGAAAAAAATGGCCCAGATTTCAACTCTTCACATGCTAAATATTATTTGAAGCAGATCATTTTTAAAAACTCTGATTGCAATATTTCCTTCAATAGCATACTTCTGTTTGTTGCTTTGTAAGGTGGAGTTTGAGCAGATCCTTGTAGATAGATTAAGTAAATAAAAAGCTAATTCAAACAAAGGAGGAGGTATTAAAGACAGAAAACGACAATGCTTTTATGAAGTATTAGTGGAAAGAACCTGTACACCCTATTTTCTTTGGCTTATAGTTAGTTCCTCACTTGCCTTGGCCCACATTGGAGTATTGTTCTCAAAGAGGCTGGAGAGATGGCTCAGCAGTTAATAGCACTTGTTGACTGTGGCTCACAGCCATCTGTAACCCTGATTCCAGGGCATCTGACACCCTGTGGTCATGTGGCACGCATTCAGAAAGCAGGTGCATATACATGCACATAAATCAAAATTTAAAAAATAAAAAGAATTTGACTAGCCTAAATAGGTCTCAGCTATGTTAAGAAATACTAAATATCCCATTGATATTTATTTTGATACAGTTGGAATTCCCTGTTTTCCTGTTAATTAAAAATGTTCCTTTGTGGGCTAGCTTGGGATGAATCAGTTGGTTTTCTGATTTCTGTGCTGATGTAAGTCCCTGGGTTTGGCTGTCCAGTGACCATATAAAACAGGTGCAGCAGACTCTGCCTTTATCCCAAGTCTCCAGTGGCAGAGAACTGCTGCTTCATGGGGCTCATGGCTTGGCCAATCAGCCTAATCTGCGTGCACCAGGTTTAGTAAGAGACTACCTCAAAAGTAGGATAGAGAGGAATTTAGGAAGATACTTGACATCTGGCCTTCACACATTTGCACACTGTACATGTGTGTGGATACACACATAAACAAGTACACATCTATATGGACTTTAGTACAATTTCACTGAAATTGGCTGCTATACTCATTTGAAAAAGTTATAATGTGAACTAGAAAGACTTAAAAATTTTTCCAATCTCATATTTGATTTTCTTCCCTTCTTTATAACATTGTCTAGACTAGGGGTAGAGCACATATTTAGCATACATAAAGCCCTGGGTTTCGTCCCCAGTATCTGAAAAAAAATTCTCAAAGTCCTGTTCTCACTGATTCCACTTTTTTGTTTTTATTATGAGTGCTCTATCTGCATGTACACCTGCACACCAGAAGGGGGCACCAGATCTCATTATAGATGGCTGTGAGTCACCATGTGGTTGCTGGGAATTGAACTCTGGAAGAGCTGCCAGTACTCTTGACTACTGAACCATCTTTTCAGCCCCTGATTCTACTTCATTAAGAAGTAGTCTAACTTCTTCCCTTACCTATCTGATTCAAACCACTTTTGATGATTTCTAATTTGCGGGGAAAGTAAACATTTTTTCTTCTTTTGGTGGGTTCATGGCTAAGACAGATAAATAAAAGAAAACCATAATATACATTTGTTTAGCATTGATTTTTGTCTAGACTTTGGAAACCATGACTCAAAGAAGACTTGTTTGTTTTTGTGCATTGGATCCCTCACCAAAGTTTCACTTTGTAGCCAATTGGCCTGGAACCTGTTATGTAGACTAGGTTGACTTCAAACTGACAGAGATCTTGCTTCAGCATCCCCAGTGATGGGATTCAAGGCATGTGTATTAATTAAAAGGTAGATAATCATGGGGAAGTATGAGTGGGGATATGGGTTCTAGTAATGGTATTAGGTTGGAGAGAACTGAACAAGACCTGTGTGTTGAAAACTTGAGAGATGAGAACATTTTTCCAGGAATAGGAAGGACACTTGTTAAAAGAGGTACTAGGATCTTCACCAGATTGATTCAAGGGAAATGGGCACGAGAACATACTCAGGGACCTTCATGCTTTACTTATCCTCCAAATACCAAGGTAATGTATTTGGCTAAAACCCCTCATTAAGTGTAAACTTAATTTTCAGTTTTAACTTGTTTTCTGGGTTGGTATCTAGGCTGCATTTCATCTGCTGACCAAGAGTTTGAGATAGTCTTTCCCTCTGTGCTGTGAGGTTTCTCTATGTCCTTGTTTTTTCCTTTGCATAGTGTATAATTTGTGTATACTATAGTATAGTATATAGTATTTAAGAAACACCTGTTCAGGACTTCACACTTTGTGCATTACACCTGGATAGTTACATGTTACTGAACAAACTGTTCATCTTCTTCCCACTTTTCATGTATTCAGACCAAGCTGCTCTCCTGAGAACTATGTTATCACATTAATTTCACTATGTTATTGCCACCATAGATGCTTCACAGCCTTTACTGCCTCAGGATGGTTGTCTATTTTCCCTAGATATTCAGTACTTCAGTCTGCCTCTGCTTGAGCAGAAAGCTAGATCTAGTCCCCTTCTTTTCCTTTCTTTTACATCTTTACCACACTCTCAATCCATTTCTAGTTCTGCAGATTTTATTCCTGAGTTTGAACCTGCTACATAGGTTCAAATACAAGAATTTTAACTATTTTCCTAGAATGAATCAGTTCTTTGCTCTCTGATTCTTAACTCAATTCTCTGCCTCTAGCTTGTGCCACTCATGTACTTCTTCACTTGTCTGTCAAAATGATCTTTCTAAAATTACATCCTAACTGTGCCATCCATCTCCCCCATGTAAACCCTGCCTTGGATCTTCAATGCCTACTGGATGACATCCAGCTTCCTCAGTGTATCATACCAGGATCTCTTCAATCTGGCCTCTGCTTTCAACTCCTGCCTCATGTCTCTTCTGCCCTGCAATTCTGCTCCAACAGTGCTGAGCTGTTTATAACTCCCCGAAAAGTTTGCTGCCTTCTGCTCCTTGTCTTGGCTTCTGGTTGCAATGTCCTCAAATCCATTTGTCTGTATAACTTTCTTTTGTCTTTTAATTCATGTTTGAATTTATTTCCACAAACATTCCTTCAAAACTATTCCTTTGCCTTTCTCAAACTGGTGTGTGTGTGTGTGTGTGTGTGTGTGTGTGTGTGTGTGTATCACATTTTTTTTT